GAGGAAGAACTGACAACATCAACAGAGTATGATATGTCTGGAGGAGCCAGTGTTTGATAAATGTGAGGCAGCCATAGACAAGGGAAGACAATTCAAGGGTGCTTGCGCTCCCCCACACCCCCTTTATCCTCTTTCTAATCCTCTTTAATATGGACTAAGATGTTCCTGAGTATACAGACATCATGGAACTGGTGCTCATTCTCTGGCTGCTGTAGAGGATGCTTTTTATTTATTTATTTACTTGGACCTGAGGCTGGTGCTGCTGCTGGCTGCAGTAGTGCGTTTTTCCTGCCATACTCACACCCCTTCCCCGCCCTGGCCCTGTCTCCCCTAGTCTGTTGGGAAAAGCAGCTGTGTCTTAGTCATTGGTTTACATGCTCAATAAGAAAGACCCGTGCCTGTGATGGAATCTCTCATTTCTGGGTTAAGAAAGAGTAAACCCTTCCCCTGGAGCTAGTTTCTCTCTCTCTCTCTCTCTCTCTCTCTCTCTCTCTCTCTCTCTCTCTCTCTCTCTCTCTCTCTCTCTCTCTCTCTCTCACACACACACACACACACACACACACACACGCACGCACACACACGAGAGAGAGAGAGAGAGAGAGAGAGAGAGAGAGAGAGAGAGAGAGAGAGAGAGAGAGAGAGAGAGAGAGGAGAGAGCACAAGCAGGCAGTTATTTTCAGTGCACTGAATAGACAATTCACAGGGAAATGTTGTAGAAGCTAGAGGCGACCCCCAAGTGCAGTGCATGGTCCACATGCTCTATAATAAATAATCTCTTCCCACCAGCCCAGCCGCGTGTGCAATGACCAGCCAGTGCCACCACACTGAGACTGGCAGAGAAAATACATTCAGCCGTGCCGGGATTTTCATCACAATCACCAAATTAACTGATTTCCCCACATCTCTCTTCCCCTAACTGGTGCATGCCGGTGCTGGCGTGTCGCGCGCTGTGAGCGCGCACCCGTGCACACTCACACACACACACACACACACACACACACACACACACACACACACACTCACACAGAGAGGCACGCACAGAAGGAGGGAGGAGGGAGAAAACAGCTGAGAGATCCAAGTTACTGAGAGGTGAACTAGGGACTCTGAGAGGATGTTTTCTCGGCAGGATTAGAAATCCAAGTAACGCGTCAGCCACCTGGGTTACTTGTAAGAGGGTGGGGGTGTGAGCGTTGGGAAATGGAACCAGGAGGTGTGAGCAGGGAAAAATGCACTATCTGCTTTCTTGGCAACTCTGGCACATGGCATTTTAAATTTATATCTCATGTAAAATACATAAAATCCCCTCCATATATTCCAGGAAACATCTGCACAAGGTTAGTTAATTGATTCAGTAATTTTCTGCCCATCACTTCATTCACATCCACAAGTAAGCAAAAATAAAATAGTGCCCCAATCTGTACCCCCCAGAAGACGGTAGGAAAGAAGCTGCATTCCAAGAACTTGCTGAAAGATGGTTCATTGACCTCATTTAAATCTTGGGAAAAAAAAAAAAAAACGTTTGGGTTTTGATCACCGGCGGGTCTACGTGTGTCTTACTTTCACATTCTTTTTACCCAGAGATAAATAAATTTGAACAACTTATCTTCCTCACAAATATCCGATGGAGGCCAGAAGGGTTGGGAGTGGACACAGATTTATCAAGAAAAGAGTCACCCAGCTTTAAAAGAATTCCATCGACCATCGTCTCGCGTCTATCCTTCCCATATCTCTCATTCAAGCCGCATCCCTGTACTACTCTTCAAAGCAACAATCTTCTGCCTTTCAGTTACCGCACATGCACGCCGCCTCTGCCTCCTCCACCACCCCAAAGTGCTTTCTCTCATACACTCTAACTCACGCATTGTCATTAATTTCAAAATTAGCAACGCCTTCCCTTCATACATCCCATCCCTCCATCGTCCAAAAGAGAAGGTCTGGGGCGAAACGAACCCGCTTTCCCTAGCCGCCTGGCATCCAGACCAGTGATTTGCATAATAACTGTTTTGTGTGGTTTCCCTCCACTGCAGTCGCAGGGGTTTTTACATTTCACGTGAAAGGATGATATTAATTACGCAAAGAAGCGGCAGACAGAGGATAGACAGGTAGAGATTCTGAGCGAAAATCCAAGGCAGTGAAGTAACATCCAGCGAGCATACATTTCTTTGCTTAAAAAAAAAATGCAAACCACACAGACTGGATAATAAAAAGTCAATGTGTTGATAAAGTGGATTTATGTCTTTTAAAATGTCCCTTCGCTCCCTTTTTAATTTCTTGTTTCATTCATATTCTCTCTCTCTCTCTCTCTCTCTCTCTCTCTCTCTCTCTCTCTCTCTCTCTCTCTCTCTCTCTCTCTCTCTCTCCTTTTTTCGCTCGCTCTCCTCTCTCTAGCCCAGACAGAGTCTCCCTTCTCTTCTTAGGTGAATGACACGTCTCACAGCCCCCCACCCCCCCACCCCCCGGGATGTTATTGCAATGCACACGGTGCCGCCGCTGCTGCTGTTCTGGCGGTCGCGGTAGCTCACTCCCAGGCTCTCACACACTTTTTAAAGACACATGGATGAGATGCTGGTGGGAAGAAGGGAAAAGGAGGAAGGCGACCCTAAAAGGGGAAGAGGTTAAAGAGATGACAAGAGGTGGAGAGCATCGCTTAAGAGCGTGATGTGGGAGGTGGCTGGCGAGGGTGGGTGGGAGAATGGAATGTTGAGACAGGCACAAGTTGCCAGCCACCCGGAGTGGGAGGGGGATGCTGGCAGGGATTGAGCGGGGTGGGATGAAGGCAGTTCAGGTGAATGAAAAGGCGAAAGGTGCCGCGTAAGGAGCTGCCTGCTGCCAGAGCTGGGCTGAGCCAGCGCTGGAGAACCAACCGGCTGGTGCAAACTGCCACTGCCCCCTGCAGCACCCGGGCGGAGGGGGAGGGAGTGGAAAGCGCCGGGCACTGGGGGATTGCCAGGGGAGAGTGGAAATACGGGGTGGAATGGGGAGGATGGGGAATGGGCGTGAAGTGATGCTCCCCACAGCGGGGCGGGGATTACCTTGTAACAGGAGCCCGCAGACACTGTAGAAGCGGAGAACCGCGCTGCGTTTCCAAATCATGGTCCCTTCTCTAAGGGTCTGGGGAAGGATCGAAGGGGGCAAGGAGATGCTGCTTGAGCGAAGCACACAGTGCAAAGGCTCAGCTGTGGTCGTCCTCCCGGCTCCCGCCGGACCCACGATCCCGCAGCTGCGGTGTTCGAACCCGCGCGGAAGCTGGTTGCCGGCAGCTGAAGCGGCAGTGGCAGAGCACCCGCAGAACAGGGGTTCGGTGGGCTAAGTAGTTTCTTCTTCTCCTTCTGCTGCTGGTGGTGCAGTCCCCGACACTCGATCCGCCGGCCACCGGCTTTGGAGCTTGCCTTCTTCCTCTCGGAGCTCGCGGCAAGTCCCAGAGCCCGCCGGGAGGCTGCCCAAGCAGGTGATGCAGAGACGCCTGGGTGTCGAGGAAGGTGCAGGCGAGGGCTGCAAGGAGTGGGTAGGTCACGGGAGGGAGGGTGGGGTGGGGGACAGGGGCAGCAAGCCGGCAGCACCGCCGCTCGCGCACCGGTGTCAAGAGTCCTGCTAGAAGAGGCGGCAGCAGTGGTAGTAGCAGCGCTCGGTAGCGGGTGGCAGCGGCGGCGGCGGCGGCGGCGGCTCCCGGATGCTCCGGCTGCAGCAGCAGCAGTGGCGGCGGCGGCGGCGGCGGCGACGACGGCGGCGGCGGCGGCGGCGGCAGCAGCAGCTCTAGCGAGCACCAGACACAAGGGCAAGCTCAGCGCGGCGGAGGCCCCGCCCCTACCCTGGCCAGGGATAGGCCCCGCCCCCCGGCCAATAGGAACACACCCACCCACCGGATCTGACCAATGACAGCGAGGGGTGGGTGGAGACAAGCGCCGGGAAAAACAAACAGGCTTCTCAAGGACCCTTCGGGCAGGAAGCTCTGAAGCCCCCTTTCACGCACTCAGGGCTGGTCTCACCTTCCTCGAGGTGTCCACGTGCTAACTGGCTGGGAAGACAGCCCTGTCCTGGACCGGGTGCTGAGCCCCGGAGAAGGGTTCAGCCAATCGCTACCGCGAGGGGGCGGGGTTAGCCGTATTCTTCAATCTCCCCCCCCCCCCGCCCCCCTCCGCCCCATCCCACCCCACACCCCCAGGTTCTGGAATCCGTAGTGCCTGGGCTTGGTCCTGGGTGCGAAGTTCTTCTGCGCATTTGGACTCCTTGAGCAGATGGTGGCTGCACCTGCCCACTCACCAGCTGCAGTAGCAAATCGCTAAGGCTCCCAGCCGCAAAGGGAGAGATTGCAGAGGGCGTAGGAGAGGCTAAGTATAGGGCGCTGAACACCTACCTGCCTTCAAGAACTTGTGGAAGAGAAGGCTTGGGAGTGAAGGAAAATCACTCTGTTGTTGTTTTTCTTCGGGGATTTCACGTATTCCACGTCTACTTCTCCGCACAGCTCCTTGAGCGACTGTATAGGGACTGAGGGTTCAAATCCCACAGCCGTCACTTTTTGCGTAATAGTTCATGGTGGTTTACTTAAATGTGTATTTCTGAAGGCTTCTCGATTGCAAAACAGAGATAATAGCAATGTTTATCTTACCGTTGTAAGGATAAAATGAAAAGGCAAGCATGTAAGTGAGGGTCACACAGTGTGTCCCTGCCTGGTAAGGCTAGTCGAGCAGTGAAGAGATTTTCCAATTGAAAAGTAACAGGAAATCTTAGCAAACATCTTTTAAAATTCCAACAATATCCATAAGAAGAGAAAGAAGAGGAAATGTATTTCATTCCAGGATGTGATATAAAGTGAGAACCACTAGCCGGGCGGTGGTGGCGCACGCCTTTAATCCCAGCACTCGGGAGGCAGAGCCAGGCGGATCTCTGTGAGTTCGAGGCCAGCCTGGGCTACCAAGTGAGTCCCAGGAAAGGCGCAAACCTACACAGAGAAACCCTGTCTCGAAAAACCAAAAAAAAAAAAAAAAAAAAAAAGTGAGAACCACTTCTACAAGCCAACACCCTGTCATTTGCCCTTTACAAGACCAGTGCTAAATTAGCAAGAGACATTAATCACAAGTTTTGTTTTCTAAGTGAGCTAAATTCCTAAGTTTTTCCCTAAGACCACTTTTTTTTTTCCTTAATGGGAGACCTTGACTATGACCACTTTTTAACTGGGCCAAATTAGCAGATGATGGAGGAGTTTGGGAGTGAGTGTTGAATCTGTCACAAGGTAAGCAGGTCTGCTTTATTTGAGATCCCACACAATAGAAGCTTGCAACCAAAAAGACAGAGTCAAAGATGAGAGGCAGGATCGATATGGATGCCCTTCACTCTTTCTCAAGACGGCTACTTTCCCGCAACCTTGTATAACCCAACCGTTGCCTTTTAACTAATGACCCATTCATATCGCAGCCCACCCTTCTCCGCAGGTGCTCGAAATTAAGGCGTGACAAGTCCCTAAAAAAAAAAAAAAAAAAAAAAAAAAAAAAACAAAAAAAAAAAAAAAAACTGCAAGTAGGTTGTGAAAGAAAGGGGATGTGAGAATAATGTTATTATTGTTAAAGGTAGTTAGTTGCCCATCATGAGTTTTAGCTCTTAGGGAAGTCAGAAACATGGAGAGTGCTATCGCTTAAACTGTTAGGAGCTACAAAAGGTGAAGTACTAATATCATAACCCTTGCTTTGGGTTTGTGTCAGAAAGACTATAATAAATGGGAATATCAAAAAACGATGGCTTACTATGGTAGTCAAGGTTACTACTAGGTTCCAGTTTACACCCTGCTTCTGACTGTATTACCCTGTGACCTTCTGTCCCCTTAAGCGTCCAAAGAAGTGGGCTTTGATCATTTCTAAGGTTACAATAAGCTGAGAGAAATAGAGAGAGAGAGAGAGAGAGAGAGAGAGAGAGAGAGAGAGAGAGAACCATTAAAATGGTTATATTCAAGAAAAGATCCCAAGTGAGCAGGAATATTCCAGCACTGGTGACTGATAATAAGGAACAGATCATGTTTTGACTCTTGTTGGAAACATAATAGCAAGAGCTCTATACAGAAGAAAGTATATATAGTATGGCTGTTTAATATGGCAGGTATACCTACAGCACAGGTATTTAATATGGTAGGAATACCTATAGCACAGGTGTTAATATGGTAGGTATACCTACAGCATGGGTGTTTAATGTGGTAGGTATACCTATAGCACAAGTGTTTAATATGATAAGTATACCTACAGCACAGGTGTTTAATGTGGTAGGTATACCTACAGCACAGGTATTTAATATGGTAGGTATACCTACAGCACAGGTGTTAATATGGTAGGTATACCTACAGCACAGGTGTTAATATGGTAGGTATACCTACAACACAGCTATTTAATATGGTAAGTATACCTACACCACAGGTGTTTAATATGGTAAGTATACCTACAACACAGCTATTTAATATGGTAAGTATACATATAGCATGGGTGTTTAATATGGTAGGTATACCTACAGCATAGGTGTTTAATATGGTAAGTATACCTATAGCACAAGTGTTTAATATGATAGGTATACCTGTAGCACAGGTGTTTAATGTAGTAAGTATACCTATAGCATGGGTGTTGAACATGTTAGGTATACTTACAGCATGCATGTTTACTATGGTAAGTATACCTACAGCACAGTTGTTTGATACATGATGCTGGGAACTAGGAACTGCAGAAACTCAGAAGGCAAACAACACTTACTGAACACATATCTTCATGGACCGTTTTCAGTATAAGCTGGTGAAGCATTTAACATTGGCATTATGTTGCCAGATACTCCAAGGAGAATTCCACCATTCTGTGAAATGGAAGACACTGGTCCTCCAGGGACTTAGGGTATAACGTTATTTCAAGGAACTTCAAAGACACATTTCTTAAAATAATCCAAAAATATGACTCCTTGTAAAGTATAGAAGAAAACTGCCCAACTTAATTAGTTTTAAGAAGATATTAAAAGTTTGATTCATGGGTCAAAGACCACCTTAGCACCAACATCTGAAATACTCAAGTCTTAGCCTAAGAACATCCAAAATCATAAGCATGGGAAATTTGGTGAATAATGTCATTTTCATGTCCTGAAAACAGATATGGTCCATTTTCATAGATGCCGTTAATCAATTATTTTTTGAAAGTATCAAACATGGGCTATGTAGATGGCTTAGCAGTTAGGAGAACTTACTGATCTTCCAGAGTATCTGAGTTCCACTCCCAGGACCACATGACACATAGCAGCTAACAAATGTCTGTAAGTTCAAGTCTAGGAGATCTGTTACACTATTCCGGCATCTTTGGGAAAAAGACACACACAGTGCACAGGCAAACATACAGAGCAAACAACCATACACATAAAGTATTTTAAAAATGAAAATCTATCAAATATTCAGTGCTTACTTCAATACTTTAAAGGAAGCCCTCTCAAATATTACAGATTTGTAATATCATGAATAGATATTTTTTTTCTGGAATCCACCACAATTCTAGAATGCAATTAAATATCTTCAAATATATATGTCTTTTTTTGCTCGAGGCTGTTATTATCTACATACACCATCAGGGTGACAACAAATGTGCAAATTAGCTGACTTCTTGTGATTCATCAAATAAAGATTTAATTTCACAAATTGACAAAAGATGACATCTATCCATGTGTTCCTAGATTCAAAAATCTTAAATATGGAAATTACTTAGAAAAAAATTCTTTTTTTATACTGAAACTTCATATTTTCTTTCGTTTCATGGCAAAACTACTCCAAATTTTAATGCAATATTTTGAAAACAATACATAGAAATCAATTATTGAAAAGTGAGTCATTCAGTGACTTCCTGGTCTGTTTATTAAAAAAATGTTCTTAATTTCCTCCTGTGATGGGTTAATGACCCTGTTCATTTATATTGTCTCAAAATGACAAGCAAGTTCTCTCTTCTCTCAGTTGTAACATGGACATTACAATTCTCTTAACACAGTCATCACAGCAGAAGCCAAACTTACTCATGTAGTTTATAAATATTTCCACAGAAAGAATTAGGAATTATAGTGATTGTAATGTTTATGCTTTTATTTTCTTCTGGGAAGAAAGGAAATTGCTTACAAATTTAATTGTAAAAGTTATTAAAAACAAACCAGAAAGACTATTATGTAGCCTTTTGTCTCATTGCCCAAATTTCCTGAGAGTTGACATAGGTCAAAGTTTTGTTCCCCGTTTCAAATGTTGAATGTACGTGAAACATTTACGCATTTAAAATATACAATTATAGATTCCCAGGACACAAAATCTAAAAAATCCATGCTAAATTGACTCTCATAGCAAATTGACTCATAGTAAATTGACCTAGAAAGAGAAATTTCATGGCCTGGTGAAAATGTAGACCACTGTGGAAGAAAATTAGATCACTGAGTATGGGAAGCATTGCCTGTTATTCTCCTTGCTCTCTGGCATGTCACACATGATGTTAGCCACCAGTGTTGCAAAGCAGTAAAGAATTTATGTCTACAATACATGATCATAGTAAACAGAGTAGAGTGTGTGATATTAATACAGAGTACATAGGAGGTGTATGAAAGATGATAGCTTTATTAATTTCCTGTAAATGTAAATTTGAAGGAGAATGCAGAATGGTGTTAAAGGCATAGCCAAAACCAAATATATATATATATATATATATATATATATATATATATATATATATATCCCACCCCAAGTGGCTTATCACTAAAGTTTTAAATTATATGGAAAATTGTGTATAAAAGAGAAGAAATTCAGTTATTCAGCTACTTATAATCTCATGATGGGCCATTCCTACTTTTTACATAAAAACATTAAGTAGCAACATTTTTACAGTCTCTACCTCTAACTTATGCAATCAAAATAGAGTGAAAGAAATCTTCATGTTCTCCTTCAGTATAAGATCTATCTCTATAATTTTTTTAATGTAAACGATTTAGGTATGCATCCATCTATACTTTTATAAATTCATCAAGATGAGCAAATAGCCAAACTAGTGGAAACACATGAACTATGAACCAATAGCTGAGGAGACCCCATGGAACTGGATCAGGCCCTCTGGATAAGTGAGACAGTTGATAAGCTTGAAATATTTAGGAGGCCCCCAGGCAGTAGGACTGGGACCTGTCCTTAGTGCATGAGCTGGCTTTTTGGAACCTAGAGCCTATGCTGAGACACTTTGCTCAGCCTGGGTGAAGGGAGGAGGGGACTGGACCTGCCTCAACTGAATCTACCAGGCTGAGCTGAATCCCCAGGGGAGTCCTTGCCTTGAAGGAGGTGGGAATGGGGGGTGGATTTGGGGGAGTGGGGGGGGAGCAGAAGGAGAGAGGACAGGGGAATCCGTGACTGATATGTAAAATTAAATTAATTATAAAATTAAAAAAAAAATGAACAATAATGTTTCCTAGATTTTCCCACAAACAAGAACACACTCAACCTAGTTTTATGGTAGTGTATAAACCTGGAATGTTAAAACATACACTGTGTGAAACAGAAATTTTTCAAATGACCACAGATAAATGGAAACATCCTGAAAATGACTCTCTCAACCCTTGAATTTAATTACATTGGAAATACCATTATTATTATTTTTTATAGAAATCTAATAAAATGAAAATAATTTCTCCACATCCACCCAAAACAGTTTCATAACTGGTATACAGTTGGAGAGGATAGTTTTCTTCACCAGAACTGCTACTGTTTGACTGGAGAGACGGCTCAGAGATTAGGACTGCACACTGCCCTTGCAGAAGATTTGAGTTCCATGTCCAGCACCCACATTGTGTAGTCCACCATATACGATCCAGCTGCAGATAGACACAATGTCTCTAACCGCCGAGAACCAATCACTCACATGCATGTACTCTCATACCTAACCACACACATGCACATAACTAAAATATAATAAATCTCAATAACGACGAAAGGACCATTATGGACACATTTCTATTTACCACAAAGTCTGTTCATCTGTGATGCTCTTGGTGAGGTGTTAACAGACAAACCTCTGCCTTGCTTCCCCTTTCCAGTGAATAAAGACAGACCAGGTGCCTGTTTGTATGTTGCTTCATGCTCTTTGTGAACCAGAGATTCTATTTTATAATTACATTGTTGGCCTTCGTATCCTGTTTTCTCTTCAGCTAAAATGTAAACTATATATACCTGAATATGAAGTGACTGGATATGAAGGTAAAATGTAAAATGAAACAGTAATTACTCAACAGTTACGATGAATGAATGAGTGTATCTACACAATATTTTCTTGGTTTAACTTGCATGAATGAAGATTTCCTTTTCTTCCCCTACCCCTCTCCGTGTGTGTATGTGGGGGAGGGGGGTATTAGTGTGGGTGTGGGTGTGGATGTGGATGTGTTTTCTGAAGATCTAATTCCTTAGCAAATAATTCTAAGTATTCTTGAGTGGAACTTCTCAAACTCATTCCACATATGCATATAGATATCTCTTTTCAAGACAAGTCTTTATGGTTTAATCAACATACAAATTTGGTATCAAATAATAAAATGAAGTGAGAGCTTGATGGTTATATGAGTCCCCATATCAGGAATCATTGACGATATAACTGGTTCTGGTGTTTTCCCCAGTAAATAGTTTTAAATAACAGATAAGAATAACCACAATCACTTTCTAAAAGTGTTTTAATACATTGGGTTGTATAATTAATTTATTTTTCAAGTATTTGAAAATTTCATAAATATGTTTTGACAATATTCATCCCCAAATCCTTCCAAGTCTAACCTTCATTCCCTACCTGCCCAAACTTTGTTCTCTTGTGTTTTCAATCTACCTAGTGGGTCTAAAATTTGTATCGTCCATACATTCTTGGACAAGTTTCCATCCACTGAGGCTTGGTCAACCTCACAGAGACAACACCCTTAAATGAAATGGGCTCTCCCACTTCTAAGAAATACTAATTGTTAATATCTCACCAGATAATGGTAGGACACTGGGTTCACCTTGCATCCATGCTGGGACTTTATCTTTCTTGTGCACGTTGTCAAGATAGCAGTGAGCAAATATGTGTAACTGCCTTGATGTGTCTGGAAAACACTCTTTCCTTGAAATCATTCACTGCCTCTGGCTTTGACCATCTTTCCACCTCTCCTTCCATGATGAATGAACTCTGAGCCTTTGAATGAGCTAGTGTCATCTAGATCCCCCATTTAGGGCTGGGCACTATGCAGTCATTGTTATATTTATACTTTTAAATGCCAGTCACCAAGTTAGGGAGAATCTTAATTCTCTTGTTTTAGGATTCTCTTTATATTTATATTAGTGTTCAATAGAACTCACATTAAAAAATATTATAAGGTTACTTCTGCGGAAAAAAACCAGCTGGAGCATTAATGGTGAAACCAACTAAATTCTTTATTTTTTCATCCTGTTTAATTAAATTAAAGGAGTTTCATTATGAGTTCATATAACTTAGACAGAAAAATTGTGAAAACCATTATTATTTTACTTGAGACTTTATAACTCCAAAATAACTTGGTATCTTACAATTCTATTTTTCCAGACAAGCTGAAACACAAGGCATCATCAAATAAGAGACTGGGAAAAAGGAATAAAACATTTTGAATCAGAAACAAAAATTACTAAATGTACAGAGTATAATTGAAGGAAAGTATCTGTAAGTAATATCAAAATATGGTATTTAAATATAAGGCTTAAAAAATAAAGTTGTATTACCAACTAGGTAGTCACTAACAGTAAGTGACTACTTAAATTCAATTTAAGTTAGTTTAAGTTAAATTAATTAAAAACTCTGAATTTTCCTCATACTAATAAAATTCTAAATGCCCAGTTACCACTCTTGGCTAGTGATAACTAATATGACCACATACACATAAATGCAGAATATTTGCATTATCAATGAAAGTTCTCTAGGTATTTTATTAATCTCATTCTTGAGATAATTTATACAGTGATCCTCTCTCTCTCTCTCTCTCTCTCTCTCTCTCTCTCGGTTTTTTTCAGACAGAGTTTCTCTGTGAGACTTTGGAGCCTGTCCTGGAACTCGCTCTGTAGAATATTCTGACCTTGAACTCACAGAGATCTGCTTGGCGCTGCCTCTTGAGTGCTGGGATTAAAGGCATGTGCCACCACTGCCTGGCTCAGTGATTCTCTCTTATCCTGTCTTCTACATTCCATAGCTTCAATGTCCCAAAATCAACTACAGCTCAAAACTACTAAGTAGAAAAATATCAGAAATCAACTATTTGCATCTTTAAATAAAAATCAGTTACATTACATTATTGTAATTATTATTAAACATTATTCTTTATTTATTCCTTTAAATGTATTCTTTTTATAAATTAAACTTTTTCATTGGTATATATGGTAAATGGCATATAGATTTCTTATTGTAATGATTCCTACTTGGTGGACCACACTATATTCCTTTGACTGTACCAATATTAGCATGTATCTCCAAAGTGGACATATTGTACAAAATTGGATTGCATATAGAAGCTAAGGTGTTGCACGTGTTTCAATAATAGGGTGGTAACCCTTCAAAAACAATAGTTCCAGTTTCTGATGTTTCATTTCATTTGTCCATTTTCCTGGCCAAATGATTCTCATATATCATTTCTTCTACTCTGTTAGCAAGAGAATTTCTGGATGAGATCATACTTTGAAAACACAGACTCAGTGGACAGCTCCATCTCACGAGTGCCGGTGGGTATCCCTCTTGTTTTGCTGAGGGCTTGAACAGAACAAAAATGGGTTGGAAGGACAAAGCCTCCCATGCTTACCAAACTGTGTCATTAGACTCTGCCTCTCAGAGCTTGCTCCTGGTTCTTGGAACTCCAGACTCTCTCTCTTGGACCTGCACTGGAGCCTCCCTATTCCCAGCCATTGCTAGTTCCCAGGCTTTTTCCCCCATGAGAATTTATTACAGTTTATTTGATCATATTCATTCCTCTCCGACACCTCCTCCAGATTCATCCCTTTCCCTATCCACCTGACTTTGTGTCAAAAACAAAACCAAACAACAAAAACCCTTACCACCCATGGTGAGGTGTGAGGGTTAAGCTTATCTATGGGCAAAGGGTAAGAATTTAGAATGTAATAGAGAATGATGCTGATTTAGTAAAGTGGTGATTGTAGATTTCTTCTCCAAAATCCCTGATTTCTGTATAATACAGTCCTGTATTCTGGCTAGTTTTGTCTCAACATGACCCAACCTAGGGTCATTTGGAAAGAAAGACCCTTAATTAATAAAACTTAATTAAGAAAATCCCTCCACAGGATAGGCCTGTAGGCAAATCTGTAGGGCATTCTCCTGATGATTGAGGATTAATGTGAGAGGGCTCATCCCATGATGGGTGGCTCTGTCCCTTAGCAGGTGGTCTTGGATAGAATGAGAATTAGGGGTGAGCAAGCCACAAAGAGCAAGCCAGTAAACAGCACTCCTCCAGGGCCTCTGCACCAACTCCTGCCTCCAGTTTTTGACCTGTTTTAGTTCCCACTCTTGCTTCCCTCAGTAGCTGTAAGCTGCATTAAACCATTTCCTCCAAAAAAGCATTTGGTCATGGTGTTTTATCACAGCAGTAGATATTGTAATTAAGATAACCAAGGTAGTTGGCTAGGATTCCAGTACCAGGCATTATTTCCCTCTAGTTGAGCAAGCCTTTAGTCTCGTGGGGCCTCAACCCTAAACAAAGAACTATAGGCAATTAAGGAATGCTGAGAGTGGGAAAATAGTCTTCTCCAGGGAATAGCCCCCAAATGACTATTCAATAACAAGTGGTCAGCCTAGAAATCATATATCTATACAAGCAACACTATATGGACTGAGTAGGTTGTAGTTATATGTTTAGGAGTGTGTGTGTGTGTGTGTGTGTATACAGTGTGTACAATGAAAGAAAATGAGACCAAAAATTTGAAAGAGAGAAAGAGGGGTAGATATGAAACCTCGGAGGTAATAAAGGGAAGAAGAAAGGGATGTAATTATATTTTGATTTCAATTTTTTTTAATTAAAAACAAAGTCAAATTCAATTTGTCCACTCTGCATGTTTTGCATATATGGCCATGCCCCAGAACATGGTTGACTTCACAGGAGTCACACACACCCTTAAAGAAAGAAAATATTCTCTTTCCAGCAACTGTCAATTGATAATAGCTTCTCAGCTGGCAATGGGGCTTCATGACCACATCCCCTCTCCGTGCTGGGATTCTATTCTGATAGATGTGGGTTCATAATACGAAAATCCTAACTATGTGTTGAAAAGACAGTTCTGTTGTAATCATCCACTGCCTTTAAATTGTTCTAGTCCTTCTGTGCATAACTTCATAAACTTTCTGAATTGTGTTCATTTTATTCCAAAAGAATGTTCCTCTAACTCTGGGTAGATAAGCATACACATTGGTATTCAAACCAGTCATATACTCATAGTAAGGCAGAAGTAATCATATCTTAAATCAGTTCCTTGACATACATAAAATTTCATCATGTGTTAAAGATGAAAGTAAAGCAGAAAACTTCTGATGGGGTGTACTTGTTTGTTTTTTTTTCATAAAGAATTAAATTTTGGTTGAGCATTTGATATTGCAAGACATGAAATATATTCAACATGTCTTCAAGTTGGGTAAGTTTTTGGTTTTATGATCACCAATAATGAGAATGCTGCTTTACATAAATACATATAGCAAAATGTCAGATGAGTGGTGAGGACCATTTTGGAAAATGTTACAGGTTCTGTCCTATCCCAAGCCAAGATTCATTTAAAAACTCAGCAATTAAAACAGTAGTTTTTAAAATCAAACACTCTAATAATACAACAAAATACAAATATATGTTCATTTCATAGTTGTAGACTGAGAAATCAAATGTTTTCCATAATGTATCATACAAGGAGGAAATAAGTGAGTGAAGTACTTTGCTTCGTAGTGTTGAATCTGAGCCACAGTGTTTTGGCCCTGTGTTGTGGATATTGCATGATGTGAAGGCAGGTGCAGTACTGAGTGTGCATGATGTGTGTTCAGAACAAAGGCTCAGGGAAGCCAAATGCTGCAACAAAGGTGAGCACTGCCAGAAATGCCTTGGATTCATTACCAATTGATTTTGAATTAACTTTTGACTATCACATGTATAGAAACTTTGACTTTTTACCAAATCTTCATCATCCTTTCTTTGTTACATGATCACAAAAGGATCAGTAAATCATAGTTTAAGAAGTCGGCCTGACTATGGCCTAATGATATAACCAAAGTTGAACAGGAATCAACCATTTTTGTGGTAATTGACATAAATAAAGATCAAATTAGCTTAAACAAAAATATTGAAATGTTATTGCTTTGTTTAATTTCAATGCCTAGAGATGTAAGTCAGGAGGGAACAAACCCACTTTAGATAAAGTAAATTCTAGCTCCATTCTCCCCATAATTAGATCTCCTTGTAAGAAGGGATGGGAGGGCAAGAAACTTAGAGCTTCCTTCCTCTCTACTTACATTGAAGGATTCTGAATAAAGAACTGTGTCTTCACAGCTTGATCAATAGTTCTTGAATGACATTAAGGTGTATATTTAAATTAAATTTTCCTACTAGATTGGATATGAATAATTTCTTTAAAAAGAAGATTCTGGAAGGACAAAATGAATCAGATGTTTGCTACCAAATAAAATAAAATAATAGATGTGATGAAAAGGACATTTATCTTGATGATAATGTCAACTCATTACTCATACACCTTAGAATAAAGTGGTGGATAGTAATCTTTAACTCTTTACACAAAACAATGAGGTCTCATTAAATAGCTGGAGAAAAAATAATCATACTGTCGTAATAAAGTTATTACTACTGGCACATTTTTGAAAAGGATTATCCTCAGGTGTTCATAAAACCAAAGGATTTTTCTCTGTTTTGTATAATAATCCTATGCATCTCACTGTCAATCAACTCTTGAAAATTAGTAACAATTAAACCCAGATTTCCAGCTCTTTCATCCTATAGTCCAGATATGGTTTCCAGAGCTCCCAGAATCATATCCTGGATTATTGCATACACACATAGACATCCCCCCTTGTGTGTCACCTGACATTTCCTCCCTTAAATTTCTTACATTTTTTAATTATAATTTTTCCAATTTGTTAGGGAAATTTCAAGTACTTCTAAGAACAGAGAAAAGTCAACATTACAGTCAATTTGCTCCTGATATCTTTACCTAAATACCTATTGGGCATGTACATAAAGGTAGTCATCTGAACTGCAGGCGTTTGCACCACTACTTACTACTTCAGAAAAGAATTGAATATTTTGTTTAGAATTTTGATAGCAGCTTATTTACAAAGCACTTTACATGTTTGAAATTGCTTGTGGACACATTCCTCAACTCAGGAAGACAAGAATGGTATTTTATACTTAGTAAGTTCTATAGTTGACTGTATAATAACCATTGTGATTCTAACAATTCAAGAAAGAATTTGAGAAATGTGGAAACAGAAATATGAGGGATGAAATAATTGCAAATGGGTTTGGTGCTTAAGACAAATATATAAGAATTTGATGTTGAACTAAATATATTTTGTGTGTGGATACCTAGTTAGGTTCTTGCTGAACCAAAGGTTTAGATTTTGATCATCTGAGACCATCTGTGGAAAAAGAGTTTGTGATACAGGAAATTCTAAAGTCATGCTTGCATTAAGATTTTGGTTTTGTTTATTTTCCTGTGACGTTGAGTGGATGGATACATACATATATACATACAAATACACATACATTCCCAGTATCTTCATGGAATGAAATAATACATCAATTAAAAAGAGACGAAAAAGTCTCTATCATAGTAAGTCCACCTAGAGTTGGAAAGATTATTCATAAGCTAGAAAAACAATTTAGAGTATTTCTAAAATTATTTAATCTAAAATGCTTCACTCATAACTGAGTTTCCATGATCACCGAGTAGCAGCATAAGAATAATATCATGAATATTTCTACAAGTTGGCAGTAAATGAGATACTCATTTTCCATAAATATTTATGAGGAAGGTGAAGAAAAATAATTTAACATGAGACTTTATTACATAATATGTTTTTATATCACCTATGTAATCCTCAGTCCCATAAAATTTATCTAAAATATCCAATATTATTGATTATTTTATTTTTTTTGGTTTTTCGAGACAGGGTTTCTCTGTGTAGCTTTGCGCCTTTCCTGGGACTCACTTGGTAGCCCAGGCTGGCCTCGAACTCACAGAGATCCGCCTGGCTCTGCCTCCCGAGTGCTGGGATTAAAGGCGTGCGCCACCACCGCCCGGCAATATTGATTATTTTATAAACAAAAATCTCAACTAAAAACACTTAAATAATTTTCACAACTTATAAAGTCAATAAACTGAGAAACATTTGCTTTAAACTTTGAGTATTTTTATTTCTT